GGTGTCGGCTGTGGGGCGGCTTCCTTCCTCTTAGGAGGTTGGGGGGGCCTTTTCACTTTTCTTCCTGCCCCACACATACGTGCCTGGGGGGGCAGGAATGAAATCTGGTCGCTTTTCAGCAACCTCTTGGCGCTTGAGGGCCGCCTGTTTCCTGACAGAGCAAGTCAGGCTCCAGGCGTGATGCCTCTTGGCACAGTTGGGACACTTGGCTGTTGTCTCCTTCTTTTCTCTGTGGGCCGTCAGGCACACCTCGGTGTTATGGGCCTTACTACAGACACCACATTTGGGCTTGGCTGTACAGTTAGCCTGGTGGTGTCCATATTTCTGGCACTTGAAACACCGAAGTGGTTCAGGCACAAACGTTCGAAGCTTAAAGGTGCCCCAGTTACCCAAGTCAAGGGTAGTGGTTGGGGCACCTTTAAGTGTAACCAGGACTTGCCTGGTTGGAGTCTTCCCTACTGTCATTCGGGAAGCCTCCACTACCTGAGGATGTGAAGTGATTAGCTCCACATCATAGGAGACTGGGAAGCCAAGTAACACCATCTTGCTTCTCTTCTCCTCGGGGGTCAATGGGGAAAGACTCACTTTTCTCCCATCTGCGAGTTCCCTGATTTCCCGAAGGAAGTTCAGGGTGGCACGATCTTTCGGCACTATGATCATGCCTTGGTCTCGGGCTACTCGGATTGAGAGCCGGAGTTTTCTGTGCCTCTCCAATGCTCTCACCAATTGGTAGGCATTGTCGAAGCCTTCTGGTTTAGCTGGGACCTTGAAATGGGTCAAGCGACTGTGGCTGGGTCCGGACTCTCCGTCAGAGTCCGTCTCCGGCCTTGGTCGCTTCTGTGAGCCCTGTCGGCTGGTGGGCTCGTTTCGTGGGGGGAGCAGCTGCTGGTTCGGCTGGTCCAGCCTGTGCTCGCGCCCCTGTCAGGGAAGCCACCTGAGGGGGACTCAGAGGCTTCCCTGGCTTGGGTGCTGGTCTGGAGAGACCAGCACGAGAGTCCATCTCTTTCACTCTCTGATGGACTATTCCGCCATCTGGAGGCATGTATGGCTCCAAGGTGGCTACCGTGGTCTGGGCATTGCATGGTTCGTCAACATTTTTATCTAGTGGGGTTTTTTTATTTAATTTCTCCATATACTGGTAAGTGCTTCATCCTCTCACGCCCCCACCCACCACGGAGTCCAACAAGGGGAAGCTGTGTGTCAGAGCCAGTGTCTGACAGCCACAGGGGTGATGAGAGGATATACGCAGCCAATAACCATTGTGGCGGCACTCACGGACCATTGTGAGTGCCAATGGAGGCATGACTGCTTGGCCCTAGCCTCCCGTGGGAGACCAGCCGATTGACCGTGACCGGGCCGGGATCAGGTCTCCTGTCTTGCTGGAATAGAGGACCAAAGAGGCGTGTTGCTAGCCGCAGGGCGTACTCATTCACGGCATCGCTCATACTCCAGGACTCCCGTCTCCACAGCGCACGAGGCTGCCACGCACGGCAAACGCGTGGGTAGGTGTAAACCCCTGGGGGGAGACCAGAGGGGATGTCCTTCACCTACGGGACATCATTGTTTGGAACCCTAGTGCTCGTCCCTCGGAGAGAGATGAGCCCTTTCACTTTTTCCGGCAGGTTCCTCTCATCCCTATCAAGGGAGGAGAGGGCCTGAACCTTTTTCAAAGTGATTTCCTCCTTCCTCTGAAACAGCCAAAGCTTGTTTCACCACAGTGAGGAAGGAGGAGTCCTGCACCTTTACAGGGAAGCTCGTTCAGCCCTCCCAGTGAGGGAGAGAAGCTGCCTTTCGAGGTGGTTCCAGTGGCGGGACAATATCGTTGTAGGAGCCGGTGTAGGTGTGAACCCCTGGGGAGAGACCAGAGGGGATGTTCTTCCACCTACTGAACATCATTGTTTGGAACCCTGTGCTCATCCCTCAGAAGCAATCACACAATGGTTGCTTGCTTCTCCACAATGAGGGATGGAGCTCTTTCACTTTTTCCAGCTGTTTCCTCTCAACCCTGGGAGGGGAGAGGGGTTAAGCCTTTTTCAAAGTGAATTCCTCCTTCCTCTGAAACAGCCAGAGCTTGTTTACCACAGTGAGAAAGGAGGAGGCCTGCGCCTTTTCAAGGAAGCTTTTTCGCCCCTCAGAAGCAGCCAGTCAAGGCTGCTTCACCACATTGAGGGAGAGAAGCTAACTTTTTTTCAAGGCGGTTCCAGTGGCGGCTAAATAAGGCAGTGTTCTATCTAGCAGCAGCTATTTTGACAGAGCTAATGCCAAAGGGGAGGGGCTCCTACCTGCCTATCGCCCCTAAACGAATTACTAGAATGGCAGTCATTAACATGGTCTGCCAGACCAGTCCCTAGCAAAAAGATTGGCAACTCTCTGTGCACCGTAAGGCAGGCACGCTAAGGCCCCCCAGACACACCCTCCCCTGCGGGAGGTAAAGGTCTGCCCACGTCCGAGCACGAGCCCGAAGATGGGGTCCAGTTCACCAGAAGGTGCACAGAGAGTCATCCTAATGCCGAAAAATCCGTAAAGGAAAGAGTAGGCTATAGGGCACGAAGTTAGATGCAAGCAAATAACTTCGTGGCAGCAACGAGGGCGGGCGCCGAGGCGCCCGGCAACACGTAGGAGCCGACCTGATGTTGCCGAGGGGTGGCTCCAGTTGATCTCTTTAAGATCATCTCTTTAAAACACCCTCGGCAAGGTTCCGTCAATCAGGCATCACGGTGACCCCCTTTGTAGCCTTCGGCATGGCGTGGCTGCCACCCGCGGTACTCCGGGCATCATGGTGACCTTCTTGGCGTGTCGGCATGATGGGTGCGGCCGTTTCGCGTTACGGCATCACGGTGGCTATCTTCGCGTTACCGGGCGGCCAAGTGCCACCTGCTGCGCCCCGTCGGTCTTCCTGGCCAGCACAATCCTCCCTTCACTCTGAAATAGCCAGGAGAGGCTACTTCAATGCAGGGAGAGAAGAGAGGAGAGTCCTTCCAAGTCGAATCCTGTGGCTGGAATGGGCAGGTCCCACTAAGAGTAATACTCTTTATACTCCCATCGTTTTATGCAACTGTGGACTTCTTTCTTGTAGAAGTCCGCAAGTGCGTTTGAAAACCGTGAAGTGACTAGTGTCTCATCCTCTTGTCAACATATGCCCTTTAAAAATGACTTCATGGACGGAAAGAGATGAAAGATAGATGGTGCAATGTCAGGAGAATAAGGAGGATGAGGAAAGACACAAACACACAAACATGCACACGCACACACATATAAATATGTATATTTATTCATACATTCAAATGCAAACACATATACATATGTATATACATACATATACATGTATACACAGACATATATATATATATATATATATATATATATATATATATATATATGTGTGTGTGTGTGTGTGTGTATGTGTGTGTGTGTGTATACATATATATATATATATATATATATATATATATATATATATATATATATATATACATATATATATTATATATATATATATTATATATATATTATATACATATAATATATATATATATATATATATATATATATACATATATACATAAGTGTGTGTGTGTTGTATGTATGTATAATATATATTATATATATATATATATATATAATTATATATACATACATATATATGCTATATATGTATATGCATATGTATTTTATTGTATATATATGTGGTATATATACAGGACATACATACATTAAAGTACAAATATATATATATATATACACAAAAATGTATCTCTATATATATTTTTATATATACATATATATGTACATATGTTTCATACGTTTTTGTATATATGTAAAATATATTGTATGATATCAATTATATATATATATATATTATATATATTATATATATAATATATATATGATATAATTTGCTAAATATCGTATACTATTTTTATCTATATCGTTCACCGTTTCATTTATTATATTCATATTATATACATATATATATATATATATATATATATATATATATATATACATATACATATATATACATATATATATATATATATATATATATATATATATATATATATATATATATATATATATATACATATTTCTTCATAAATGCGGGATTTTACTGCATGAGTGCCTAAGATAATTTTCCTTTCATTAATATTAACCCATCGCGGGGCTGCATGGCCACTGTGAGATTACTTGTTAGATTGTTTTCACACATATATGGCTACACTTGTACTAAATCACGAATGAGCCAGTTACGAGTACCGCCTGTCTCGCCCGTTCAACTTTTTCTTTGATTTACGAAATATTTTACGTTATCTTATTTTGCTGTTACTAATGTTAAAAAACATTATGAAAATTACAATGTTTATGATAAAAAATAACACCATCGATATTCATGGCACTAGTGAAAAATACGTTTTTCCCCGCCATTTCAAATCAGGCGCTAACAGAGCCATCTATGGGCAGACATTTAACAAAAAAAGCATAGAAAATAGGCACAGCATTCTCCCCATTTTTTGTTCATTTTCCCCCGGCGGCAATGGGTTAATATTAACTGTTTAATTTCCTTTTGTATTTTTTACACATACACACACACACACACACATATATATGTGTATACTATATATATATATATATATATATATATATATATATATATATGGTATATATACATATGAATATATAAATATACTGATGATTTGATTGAAGAAATTATTAGAATGCTAGTATTTTTTATTTCATAAAACTTTATCAGTAACTAGGATTTTTTTTCTTATGCTAACAAGTAAATTTGTCAGGAGGTACATATTTTACGACAGTAGAAAGACACACATATAAATGTTTACAGAAACTTATATTCATTTGGAAGTGTGTAACTTCTTCACAAGAATATGGCGTCTGTATTGGCTGCAATTTAATTTTTTTCATGATTTTTTTTTCTTTTTATCTTTTTCAGATAATGGCATTGTCCAGTCGATGTCGCCTCTGTGTTACGGGTTGATTCTTTATCCATTTGTTGACGTAGAGCTGGATGTGGTGGTTGGGGCTTCCGTGGTAGTTGGGGCTTCCGTGGTAGTTGGGGCTTCCGTGGTAGTTGGAGCTTCCGTGGGTTGGAGTTCCGTGGTAGTAGGAGCTTCCGTGGTAGTTGGAGCTTCCGTGGTAGTTGGGGCTTCCGTGGTAGTTGGGGCTTCCGTGGTAGTTGGGGCTTCCGTGGTGGTTGGGGCTTCTGTGCTGTCTACTGTAGTGCTATCAACTGTAGTGACGTCTTCTGTGGTGATATCAATTGTGCTGACATCTGTGGTGGTGTCAGTTGTGATGACATCTGGTGTGGTGGTGTCAATTGTACTGATACCTCCTGTGGTGGTGGTACTATAAAAAACGGCAGTAGTATCTTCTGTTGTGGTAATGTCTGCTGTAGTGGTATCGACTGTGATGCTTGTGACATCTACCGTTGTAGTGTCTACTATGGTAGTGTCCATCGTTGTGGTATCAATCAGGGTGGTATCGACTGTTGTAGTGTCTACTATGGTAGTGTCATCGTTGTGGTATCAATCAAGGTGGTATCGACAGTGGTAGTATCTACTATGGTAGTGTCCATCGTTGTGGTATCAATCAAGGGTGGTATCGACTGTTGTAGTATGTCTACTATGGTAGTGTCCATCGTTGTGGTATCAATCAAGGTGGTATCGACTGTTGTAGTATCTACTATGGTAGTGTCCATCGTTGTGGTATCAATCAAGGTGGTATCGACTGTTGTAGTGTCCATTAGTGTAGTTTCTTCAGTCGTGTCCACGGTGGTGGTGTCCTTCTGCCTTGGTAGTAGTTTCTTCATTGTTGCCGCCGTCTGAAAATTAGATATTTCAGAAGTGAAAACATCTTTATCTTCGTCTGTAGAAATGAGTACTTGTGTGTGTATGCAACATATACACGTATATATAGGTACATACTGTATATTCATACGTACATACATATATACATTATATTATATACAA